GGGGTGTGTGTATACTTTTAATTTAAATTATCTCTTTTGAGGTTTGTAGGAGAAAAGAAAATATTTATCTTTTAGCTTATTGATATCAGCAGGCAGGCTAGCTAGTCTCAGAGGATGGAAGGTTTATTGGTTAAGAGACGCAGGCACCCAGTTTGTGATAAAGAATTCTTTGCATTTTTCCTCAGTAAATTGCTTGTAGGATATTGCTTAGAACTTAACCCTTTCAGAGCTGCATCTCGGTCAATCAGTTTTAAACTGCTGTCTGTTATTAAATAGTTAATAGTTTATCTTGCTTTGCATGATTTCGTATGTGTACCTGTACACATGGATGCGCATACACACACACAAACACACACATTTTGTAGTAAATGCAGAGATGAAACTGAAAACTGTATAAAACATTTTTGGGAACTGTTCAGAAATTTAAGGCTTCAGTCAAGATTTTTGCCTTCCCCATTAAGTTCTTCCTATATGTCACCCTTGACAAAGTTTATACCAGTCTCTTGCAGAAGTAGTTATCCTCCCTTTGGCTTTTCTACATTTTGTTGTGTTATAACCATCAACTGAAATGGATTTAATTAGCATTGTTACTACAAACTGGCACTTGCTGGCTGCATAAGTGTTCACCTCCTTTGCTATGACTTACTTAAAGAGGCACTAGGGCAACCCACTGCCTCTAGTGTATAAGTAATTGAATGGCGTTCATCGCATGCAATTTCAGTGCTACCTGATCTCAGATTAAATACACCTGTTTCTAGAAGGCCCCAGAGTTTGTTAAAGAACATATCTAAACAAATCCAAAAAACAGCTTCATGAAGACCAAGGTGCTTGCAAAGTTGTGCAGAAACCCAATTCGTTTATTTTAAACATCCCAAACTATGATCATCCCCTGAAGCACTGTTAAATACATTACTAGAAAATAGAAGATGGCTGAACTGCAACTTTGCCTAGAGAAGGCTATAAACAAGTAACAGTGACCAGATAGGAAGGGTATTAGTTAGAGAAGCAATCAGAGGCCAATGGTCACTCTGAAGGAGTTGGAGCTATCCACAGCTGAGATAGGAGAAATCATCCACGGGGCAAGCATCACTCGGATGTGCCACAAAACTGGGCTTTATGTAGGAGTGGTGAGAAGAAGGCCATTGATGAAATCAACCCATATCAAAACCCATCTGGAGTTTGTGAAAAGGCATGGGAAAAGTTCTCTGGTCTGATGAGACCAATTGAACTTTAAGCCTACCATCAAAATGACATGTGTGGAGCAAAGCCAACAGTGCTTATTGACCCCAGAAGATTCCAGTGGTGAAACAGGATGGTGCTGGCCTCGTATTCATGTTCCTCCTCAGCAGGAACTGTAAAACTGGTCAGAATGGATGGTGTCAAATACATGGCAATTCTAGAAGAAAACCAGTTTCATTCTGCAAGGGATCTTCCAACAGGATAATAACCCTGAGCACATAAGTCAGAGTAACTCTGGAGTGGTTTAAACACTAGAGCCTGAAGCCTTGGAACAGCCCAGTCAAAACCTGTACCTCGATTTGATTGAGAATGGGTGGCAAGACTTGAAAACTGCTGTTCAGCAACACTCCCCATCCAACCTGGCAGAGCTTGAGCATTTTTGCCAGAAAAAGTAGGTACACGTTGCAAGATTGAGATGTGCAAAGCTGTTAGAAATTTACCCAAGAAGACTTGCAACTGTAATTGCCGCCAAAAGGGCTTCTACCAAAGATTGACTTGGGTGAATACTTCTGCAATGAACAAGTGCCAGGCGGTGGTTGTTTTGTTAACTCCTGTAAAGGACCGGATAAAATTGCTTTAAATAAATAAATACATAAATTCCACAATAAAAATATCTTACATCTTCCCAATGCTGAGTGTCTTGTATACCTCAAGGGGTAACAAAGCCAATTAGATCAATTTCCGCTCCAGGTTTTATTGTGACAATACATAGAAAAGTCAATGCAGGTGCATACTTTTGCACAGCACTACGTATTTGAAGAACCAAATATGTGCACTACATATTTGAAGAACCAAAAGAGGGAGATACAGGGGATCAGTTCTCTTGTTGCTTTTTGTGATGTTTTGCCATGCCTCTTCACATGGCTGGGATGCACAGTCATAGATCCAGGACACATCATAGCACACTGGAGTAGACCTCCTTAGAATTTCCTGATATTAGACTGTTAATTTCCACAGACCAGTTGCTGTTTTTATACAGTATTGTTCCACTTGGTAAAAAAATCCACTTGGGAACATGGAGGGAAGGGGAGTTTCAGATTAATAGTGTGCAGGTGTTCCATCGGGCACAAAACAGGACAGGGCTCTTGCACCTTTGATCATTATGCAGGGGGAAATTTCTGAGGAAAATTTTAGCTTTCCATGAAGAAAAGTCCTATTCTGTGCAACTATTACAAGCTCAGGAGTCCTCTGCTTCTTTTGAATAATGTCACACCAGTAGGCATCTATTGCTACCTTCACATTGACAGTGCACTATTGTGGTTGTCCTTCTCACACTCCTCTGGCATATAGAGGACATTAACATGGCCGCCCAAAGTAGGCCTCATACATGTGTTTGTGCTTTTGAAGACTTGGAATAACTTCGAAAGTAAGCAGCTTTGGGGAAGAGTTCAGTATTGCTGGAATTTCCTAACTAGACTTTCCAGGTGAAGTGTGGATTAATTTTTTATAATATTTATAATATAATATTTTAATATTTATTTACAAATATTAAAAAGTGCTTTTTAAAAACCTGCAGTTATCTGCATAAATTCTTCCCGTTCAAAAATAATGGGTGCCATATGTAATACTTAAGATCCTGTTTCTATGTTTTTACATATATAAATTTGCTTGAAGGAAGCAATAAGACCTTGTTTATATAAAGTTCTGCAACAATCAATATTTGTAAACTGTAAGTATTACAGATAGTGGCATCTTTTTTCTATCTCTTTTAAAAGTCATGTTTGGAGTAAGAATAAATACTCCAAAATATTATCAAATGACTTGAAAGCAGAGAACAATGTTATTTTAGCAACAAAGCTGGAATTTACATATAACCTTTCTATCCTCCTAGGCACAGTCTGTAATCTGGTTATTTCAAATAGTCCTACTGCAGTAAATCCAGTATCTGCAGGACATCTGAGCTTAGTCTTTTTTAAACTACAGTGGAAGTTTAAACAGTGGTAGTCTGAAACTGTGATGGTGGTAGCTTAGTTTAGGAGTTTTGGTTATTGATTGTTTGATACTCTTTGCTGTGAATAAACAAACAAACTAAAGAACATTAAATCCAGTATTTTGGACACTATTTTATTTCTCTGATGTATATAAACTTGCTTATCTTTTAAAGTAACAGCAGGCAGCAGAAATAACTGCAACTTTCAAAGTTGGCAAGAATGCATTATAGTAATATAATAGTTTTATTAAATCAGTTGCAAATCAAATTAATATTTAGTTTAAATTAAATGCAGTACATAATAACAAAATATGTTCTAAAATGTGATTGTGTTTGTCTCTGTCAATGTGGTAAACCAAATATATTTGTATACCCCCAGTTTCTTTAAACAACTCTGTTCTGTAAAGTGGGGTTAGAGTTCATCTGGATATCCCAAGTTCTAGTCCAGCACTCTTACTGCTACACCAAACTGGTCTCGGCCCTGCTTATGAATGCCTTGATTCAGTACCAGTTTGACTGGTGCATCAGACTCTCTCTCTCTCCCAGAAAACCATGTTCTTGCCAGAGGAATCCATATTCTTCAAACATGCAGGTTAGCTTAGTGGAGTGTGTTGGATGTAGGGTTGCTTCTGCAACTGTTTCAGAATACAGTGAGCAGTTGTTTGATGAAACCCAACCTGTCAAAATTCAAAGTGCTCACATTAAGTTAAAAAGTCCTAAAAGGCATGAGATCAAGGTATCTGATCAGGTCTGAGTTTGTTTTTGTTTGTTTGTTTGTTTGAACAAACCCCCATGGTGAGCTTGTCAACTGAAGTTCTGATTGTGGGCATCTCTAGCCCTCAGAAGATAGGTGGTGGATGGCCACTAGATGCTGAGATTTCTCTGGTGAAGCCATGATTTTAGAATATGCACCACAGAAATAGTCACCTGACACCTACTCTGCTATCTTTTAGGTGCCAGAATAACAACTTAATTGGATTTATATTTATTTAGGAGCAAGCTGCATTGGGTTCAGTGAAGCCTACTTTCTGATAAGTATATTTAGGTTTGCAGCCTAAATCATTTTTCCTCCTGCAAGCTTTTGATAGGGTTACTACAGATGAGATTTTTTTCCCTAAATCAGCTGTTCATTTTGCTTCTTTATGGGTTTCTTTTGATCTTAGTTCTGTTTAACATTTGTTTTTATTTTATCCTTGTGTAGTTATATCATTTGTATATAAGCCACCTTGAAGACCAACAGTCAAAAAAATTCAGAAAAAATATCTTTGAGATGCGTCAAAGTTTATGCAGCTTTTAAGGTGCAACATTGAGTTTGGCAGCAAAATCTGCACTGCAGGTCCACTGTTTGCACATAGAGCTGGAGAACTTGGACATCAAGGAGCAGTTCTTTTGCTAGAAATTAGGATACTTAAATATGACACCAGCTTATCTGTGTATTCAGGATTATTTCAGCAACTGAGAGGGTGCATGGATCCTTCACAAACTCATGCCGCCAGTGCTCCATCAGCAGACTGTAACACCAGTTATAAATCCCCAGATGCCTCTTACTGTGCAGAACTGAATTCTGTTTATGGGTTTGATCAGGAAAACTTTCCTACTGAATTCATCCAATTAATTACATATTGCTTTATATTTCTTCAATATACATGCTGTCTTACAACATAACAAAACTTAGTCTGCTCTAGATTATGTTGCAAAACATGTGAGAAATGTGTGTGGTCTAACATTACAGATGTATTTTTAGGCTTAGCTGGTAAGATAGAAAACAGAATATCTGCTGGATAGTCCTCAACTGATTTGAGATTTTTGTTTAATTTTGTTTGGCCTGCAGAAATGTGTCTTCTGTCGACAAAGAATTAAGAAAATATCTGGTGCCTGCATACAATGTTCTTATGGACGGTGTCCAGCTTCTTTCCATGTTACATGTGCGCATGCTGCAGGGGTGCTGATGGAACCAGATGACTGGCCTTACGTTGTCTATATTACATGTTTCAGGCACAAAATCAGTCAGAATGTGGTAAGGATTAACATCTCTTCTCTGGCTAATTGCTCCTCTCCCAGCAAAACCATCACTTCAAGATGCCTACCCAACACCTGTGGGGTTTTTTTTTTTTAATATGACATTTTCTTCATCTCTCTGCAAACTATTCACTTGACTGTGACTTTGTTTTCAGCTTTCCTACCCTTCTTAGAACTCAGTAGTCAGGTCAACCATTGACTAGCCTTTGTGAGTCTTCGCCATTGCCATCTCAGCGATGAAGTGGCAATGGAAGGAGTTTGGAGAGAAAAGCTGCTAGGTAGATGAGGAAGTGGGCAAAGAAACATGAGCTCTGCAGCCAAGGACAACGGGATGCTGCCCCTTTCTTTCCAAACAATACAAAGGTGGGGGCCAGAGCAGTGGATTTCATACTGGTTGTAGAGGAAGAGAAGTAACCTGGAGGAGGAATGACTTCCTGCTGAGCAAGCAGAAGGTGGAGGATCGGGGTAGGGTCATATCTGGTTTTGTGCTTTTCTGACTGGGGAGGAAGAAACTTCACTTCCTATTGAGGAAGCCGAGAAAGTTGCCTGATCTGTTCTTCTCCCTCTTCCACCTTCAATTTCCTCTGCAACTGGAATGGAATGTACTTGCAGTGACAACTTCTGCTTTGAACAATGCTTCATAGTAGGTTAAGGAAAGGTTAGGCCACGGAGGAGAGGCTAGATCCAAATGCACTTTAAAGGACCACACGTACACCTTCCATATCCCTCTTCCTCAAAATCCCTGTGTATGTTCATCACCAGGTCCTGAACTGCCAGCCTCTTAATAGAACTTTACAAATCATATTATCTAATCTCAATTAAAAGCTCTACTAAATATTTAAAAAATGTTTGCATTGAGAAACATCTCTGTCAACAGCTGATTTTCAGCTATAGCAGCTACAGCAGAGAAGATCTTTCCATGAATCTCCATAAACGTTGTTTCTTCCATATGAGGCAATCTAAACAAGGCTTCTAGTCTTGAAGGCTGATATGCTTGGAAGCATTCCTTAGGTATGCAGTATACGGTGGGTTAACATAATGAGAGCAGCGTGGTATAACTATAATGTAACTTTGTTTGTTTAATCCTTTCTTTTAAGAAAACCAAAGCCTTTGAAAAAGCTATCACAGCTGGGCAAACAGTCATCGCAAAACACAAGAATACACGATACTATAGCTGCAGAGTAACAGAAGTTACGTCTCAAGTTTTCTATGAAGTCATGTTTGATGATGGTTCCTTCAGCCGAGACACTTTCCCTGAAGACATTGTAGTAAGTATTTATCTTAAAAAACTGATTTTTAAATTTGTGGAGAGTTAAATAAGTAAAATTGAACTATTTCTTCTGACCTTTCAACAGGGATAATTAACTTAATATTCTATTCATGTTTGTTATTCCTTGCTGCAGAGAATTATTATTTTCTCAGGGGCTTCCCAACCTTGTTTGTTCTAATTAGTATCCACCATTTCACCAAATGAATCAAAACTAATCTTCCAAAGTCTTTTAATTAAATAAGAAATATGTTTTTAATAAAAGATATTAGAGTGGGAATTCCACATATTGTAATATGTCTCTGAGAGATAATATAACAACATTTCTTGATGAACTGAAAATATGTCTGTGTTCAAATATGTAACAGGCAGAATAGTTCACATGAATCTAGTATGAAGATGTGTTTACATCTTTTGATGTTGTGTCTGTAAGATTCCATTATCTAACGATACTAAATCAGAGGGGAAAAGTTGGCAATGTTTGCAGCATTTCATAATATGCACTTCAGTGCCTGTTTCTCTTAAGCCAGCGTTTTATTAAGAAAGTGAATCTGCAGTCCCTGCTCTTATCTGGAGCAGTATACTTACTTTTTTCTAAATTCTGGGCATGATTCTGCCTTTCCTTGTACTTTACAGAACCTCTATGCTTTCTGATTTTATGGCTGGTCCCTTTGCACTTTTCTAATCCTGAGAGTGCTGAATCCTAGGCCAGTGTTGGGCCTCCTGTCAAAATTCTTCAGGCTCCATTACATCAGTCAGACATCGCCAGGTTATGATGGCAATACTTTCTTCAGGCTTTCTGACTTTTTGTCCCTCATGCTTAGCAAAATAAAAAGGTTGCAAAGATGTCTTTCAGATATTTAAAAATACAAAAAGGGAGTTGAAAGAATGGATCCAGGACTGGAAAGGTGTTAACCAGTGTAAATCAGCTACTGAACTCTGGAACAAGTACAGAGTACATCATTTGGGCAGTTATTTTTCTGAAGGAATTCTATGTTGAATTGTTGACTGGTTGAACTACTATATCGACACAGAACTTTTGTACTTTGTGATATGTATGACTGACAAGTCATTTTAAATCTCATACCTCATTTGACAGTTTATGCTAAGCCGCCAGTTTATGACAGTTTAAGGTGGATTTGTATAAGCCAAATTTTTCCAGATAGTTTCTTTTTATTTTTAAATTTGACTTTCCTATGAAGTCCTCACTAGCCAGTATATTAGCCTTGCCTCTCTTACAAACCATTTGCATTTTTTACTAATTTCTGTCCCTATGATCTATCTTTGTGATGTCTCTTCTATCACATAGCAACTTTCTGAGAAAATTGACCTTTTGGTAGAAGTTTGTACCTCTTCTTGTATAAGAGGCCAGTGACATACAGTTGCAAGGAGGAATACACTGTCATTGGCACAGCTTTTAAAATGGCCAGGTCAACATTTGTATTGTGATTCTAGTTTCAAATAGCTGTACAATTTTCATAGGATGCCAATGGAAGCCCTGAATTCTCTGCAGTGTTGCAAGATCACAAAGAAGAGGGAAATGTGGCATTAGCCTATGGCTGTGGTTTCCAGCCTGGGTTGGTATGCTGCCAGCCTGCAATATTAAAAATGAGTCTATAAAAGTGTACCCTCTTTCTCCTTTTGCTGTCTGAAAGTCACCCTTCAAACATTATTAGCAAAGATTATCCTATTTTCCCTGCTAAGTCCTTACTTACAAAAGGTCTAATGCCTTTCTAGGCATAAAACACTTGAAGTGGGACATTTTCAAAGCAGTGTGTGAAGGATTTAGCCATTTACCTCTCACTGGTGATAAATGAAACCACGCAGCTAAATTCCTGCTATGACCCTTTGAAAAGATACCCCTTTGTTTGGGATATTATAAAAAGGCTTATTAATGATGGAGGATGCCTTGATTAAGGAACATCAAAATATTGCACGTATGGGACTATATTCCTTACTAGAAACTCTTTTGTTTGCACCTACATTAAAGCTTCAGCTGTGGGAGAAAGGAGAAACTGCTTACCACCCAAGTGGGGTGGTTTGATTTGGAGCTAAGAAGAAATGTAATCAGGCCTGGATATGCCTCAGTGCTTCTCAGATAGTAGAGGAACAACATATAATTGTTTGAAGGAAACACCAAAGAACTTTCAGATTCCTTAGAGAAATCTTTGTGTGTTTTCATTAGATAATATACCTGTAGCATCAGTAACTGGGAGGGTTTTTTTTTCAACTGCCTTCCTAATCCGTGCAATGTGCATATCAGGTGTTAGTGCCACTGGGAGGACTTATTCATCAAATTTTGTGCAAAGGCGATGTTGCTGCCTATTGAAGAAGCTATTTCTCTAATCTGTTTCCCCTGTTCGGCTAGCTCACAAAGATAGGAAAAGCTTTCTGCTTTTGCTTTATGTGTTCAAGCCACTGCACAATTTCAGTTGAGCTCACAGTTGGATGTATGTGAGACAAACCACCATTTCATGTTTGTACATATTTTGATGTGATTGCAAGGGGAAAGAAGAGTTTTAGGGAAATTGCAGCCAAAATGTTTATGTACCTTGGTTGTAAGCACACACACACCACAAAAGACTTTGTTTCTGATTCCAGTATGCATGTTGATGTTTATATTAACATTTGCTAAATACAGTGGTTCAGTTTAGTTAAGAAGACAAATGGGACTGAAAACAATGGGACTGATCCATCTCCATGCAGGAGTGAGGAACTTCTTTGAACCCAAGGCACTGTTTTTAGGGTACTAGCTATTATCTCATATCTGTGTTTTCAAGCAGTGATACCACAGGCTTAACTCTACTAGACATTCATAAGATAAACACATTCAGAATTATGTTCCCCCTTTTCTGCAGGATTAACATGTTGAGATAATATGACTCAAAAGATAATCCTATATAAACCTTACTTTTAACACATACTGGCCTGTAAGTTAATGAGATAAATTTGAGATGTAGAAGCACATTGATTTTTGTCTCATGTACCGCTAACTAGTTAAAAAATTTAATTTCCCTAATTTTGTAGGCATTGGGAGATTGTAGGTCAGGCATTGCCCAGATTTTTAATAGGTTAAATGAGGGAGTGGTAGACACCACAAATTAAAGGGGCTGGTACCATTCAGCTTTTCATAAGCAATTACAAATTACTGGCTGCAGGTTTTTGAGAGCCCTTGGGGAAGACAGTCTCTTTGGGTTGCCTTCTCCATTTTAGGCCCCCTTTCTCCTTCCCCTTTCTCCTTATTTTCTCCAACTCTTCTGCTCTACCCCAACTCTTCTGCACTCTACCCCAGCACATCCTGCTTGCTTCCCAAGAAGAGAGCTGGTGAGTAAGGGGAGAGCAGATGTTGCTTCTCTATTTTTCACTGACTCTGAGCTACAGAAAAAGAGCAGGGGAGCAGACAAGTAGTAACTGTAAGGAAGAGCAGTGACATCATAAGCCAGAGGTTTTGGTAGAGAGCCCTCTACAGAGCCAGGGGCTTGACAGAAGCCCAACCATATCAACTTTCACTGCCAGAACTGGTACAACACATGGAGAAGAGTGGATTGCCTCTCTCTTCTGCTTCCCTCTTTCATGTGTCTGTAAGGAATCACTTTTTTATTTTTGGTCTTTTCCTTGAGTTGTGTTTTATTGGACAGCTTTGTTTAAGCTACAAATATGCTCTGCCAGCATTGGCAGGGACATTGCTGTAGCTGCCAGTGCATGAGGAACATCGTTCTGCTGATTTGGCTGCTCCCATTCCCCCCTAGGGGCTGCTTGGTCAGGGAATGGGGTGTATTCTGGTCAGTCTCCTCAGGAAGGAGCTGAGAACACACCCTGACCTTGCTGTGTAAACTGCCACTGTTCTTGGCAGTCACAGGATGAGCTGCACTGTGGCCAGTCTCTCCAGGAAGCATCTGACCATAATGCACCTTCTCTCCACCTGGCACGGCCATCACACCCATCAGGGACAGGATGGGCCATGTTCTGCAGGACCTCCACAGGGTTGCAGTTCTGCCAATGCCAACAGAGCAGGCTTGTAAGCCTTGTCTCCTGGTGGCAGCAAGAGCTTAAGATGGTGCACAGCACTGGGGCCAGCTGCTGCCAATTCTAGCAGGGGGAGGTTGCCAAATGATCCTTCCCTGTTGGATCAGGCTGCTGGAATAGGGTGGAGCTGGGAGGAGTTGTGTGGTGCACAGCCTGTGGCAGTCCAGCACAGTCCAGCACAGTCTGACAATTGGCACCACAGCCTGAAATGGCAGGCACTGAGAGCAGGGAAGAGTCAGCTGGGGCAGCAAGCCAGCTGCAGCAGTCTCCTCTTCCCTGCCAGCCTGTGTTCTGTCATCCGCTCCCTCCACAGGAGTCCAGTGACAGTCTGTGTCCCCCACTCCCAGAGCCCTTTGGAATGAGTGGCAGGCATTTCTGACACTCTTGCCAAGCAGCTCTGCAGGTTTGGAGCTTCACCTGGGCTTGTCATGTCATTTCGGCTCAAGAATTCGGTAAAACCCTACCCCAAGTCACAACATGTTGGGGTGGCTTTGTAGTTGCAAAGAAACCACCCCACAGAGTTGGGGTGCCAGGTTCAGATCACATGCTCAGCAGCTGTGGCTACAAAGCCATGGTGTGGCTTAGTGCGCTGTGTGAACACAGTCATTGTCAAATGTGTTTAGAACTGGTGTCTAAAGTCATCAGAGAGTTGCTGTTAAAAGGAAAAAAGTGCCATTCAGTTTATAAAACACTAATGCTGACATGTACCCCACAGTCTTTGGTGTTGTACTTTCAGGACTCCCATGGGACTTATTCCCTTGCTTGTGTGTAGTTTCCAAAACATCCAACATATTTCTGTCCAGTGATAGACTTCTGTGGAATAATAGCCCTGTTTAGTTAAACACAGCCTACGGGCTGCAGCAGCCTAAAACAATAATAAAAGATACATTACTACATGAATCAAATCTGCCAGTCTAAGTAAATGTGACACAGCTACAAATTATTTTTATTTATTTATTTTGGTCTATCAGCCTT